TTTGACTATCGAGACAAAAGCTCGGGCGGGTTTTGACTATCATTAGCTAAAAGTTTCTTTCGATTATCTTTAAATTTTGTGTTACGAATAGCTGTTGCCTAGCACGCTTCTGAAGAATTTGTAAATTTATGTAGTTTAGTACAGGAATTACCTGGTTGAAGTAGGATTTTAAAACTCTGTGTTTAAATTTCAAGTGTGTCTAACTGCTTCTTTTGATGGTCTTCTGGCAGTATTGCATCTAAACCAAGCTCTGATTTAAACAGGCTTTGGAAAAGGGTCTTTGTTTTTGTTGTTTAAAGGCGCAGGTACTTCAGAAAACTTTGTGCATCTACCGGCTAAGTTAGGATCTTTTTCTGGTAAGAAATGGATTGTTATACATTTCTGCAACAAGAAACTGCAGTAAATCTGACACTGCTTCTCAAATAACACATTTTGTTTTTTGAAAGAAGATTATTCGTAGACCGTGGACCATTTGACAACTACTTTTCAAAGTTTTTATAGGTTTCACTGAATGTTTTTTAATAACTTTGTACATTACGTGTGCATTTCCCAAATAATTCGCCTAAGTCACTAATTTTTTGACATACAAGTTACCGAATAAATCAAGGATGTCTGTTACTTTTATTACATCTATGCAGTTCTTAGCAAATGCATAGAGGTGATGGCGAATAATTGCACTGAAAAGAATTGGTAATGAGATGAATTCTAATACACTGCGGCAGAAACAGTAAACTTATAGAATGCCATACAGTAGATCAAGATGATAATCTTTTAGCCGCAAAAATCTTATAATTTTCTTTTCATATGAATTAACTGAGATCTAAAGAAAGGTCTGTTTGATTTTAACTATGTAATGTCTCCTCCTGAGTTACATTCTGCGTAATAGAGACTATAGAAGCGTACCTCTCTATCAGACTTTATTAAACCTTTTCAAGCATTTATTACTTTTTGCAAAGGCATTATATGCTGTTTTCAGTTCAGTAGCGTTTTATACGTTGTCATCACTGTTTAGTATATTAACTAATTCACAGTATCGCCTGAATTTATATTTTTCATCTTTAATAAAAATTAGTCTGCTGCATTGACGTTTCGAAATAGCTTTATGATTTTCTGTTTGTTGAGGGCTTATTATAAACCGTTCCAGTAAATTTGTTAATCTTTTTCAAAACATATCAAAGCTGTTGGCTAATTTAAACTGAATTTCCTTTCAAGGCTAATCTGGCTCATATCTACTTTTTGTAAAAAGAACAGATGGAGCAAATGACTTTAACTACGAACTATCAGCTGTTACTATCATCTCGAAATTTCAGTACTGATCTACTCCAATATCAAATGGCGCTCTACCAATTGTTTCTTGCTCTACTATAATTAGCTGGCTAGTAGAAAAAGTCAGCACTGCCTCATTAAGTTATTTCACCGTTTTTTCACCGCTAAAGAAAGTATGTATGTTACTTTTAATTTGATAAAAATTATTTTTTCTTCTCACCTTTCATACATTTTTAAGAATTTTTCAAGTGTTAAGACGTTATCTTTGGTTGATATCTCTGTTTCTCAATGTTTATCAGTCCGCAATTGGCCCTTTCTTGAGCTTTCTGTTAAGGATGATGTTGAGTGAATTTGATTTTTTTGGAAAAATGTAATAAATACAGCTTAATTTCAGTGTTAATTTCATGTAATTCCGACTCCATGCTTGGAATTGAACTCTCAGAAGTATAAAGAACCAAAGTTTTATGACTCATTGCTAGAAGCTTTAGCTTTATCGTTTGCACCTCCGTAACGCAAGGCTTCTCAAAACCACTATTCATAAAGGCGTGCCTTGCTGCTTGTGCTAGCTAATTAGCGGAATTAGAAACTTTCACTTTGTTTATAGCAACAAAGTTTGATTTTGATATTGAATCCGCTGTTCCCAATATACTACTTGTTTCGCTCGCTGCTCTTTACTCGTACAACAGCTTAGAGTTCGCTGCTCAACATTAGAAGTAGTCTGCTTTTTGTTCTCTCAAATCCTTTCTCCTTCAAAAGGCTTTCGTATGTCTTTGACGCATTTATTTTGGTTAAGAGGAGCAATTATAGTGCTGACTATTACAGTAAAAAAATTTTCTAGCCTGCTTACAGTCTATATGTCTTTGTAAAGCACTTGCAGCAGACCATCATTTTTTCATCTGCTAAATATTGTTAGCATGATTGCTTACTATATAATGATCTGTTCCGTAGGAGACGGAAATTAAGTGCCTATCACATTTGGTAATGCTGACACCGTTTCGAAGCTTTATTTGATAAGTTTTGGCAGTTTCTTTTCATCTCCACCTTCTACTTCTGCGTTTTTAAAATTGCAAGTTCCTATACTGTTTCCCCGACTTTTAAATATTCGTCTAAATATGCTAAAAAGGTCTATAATTTGGTGTTTTTCTTCGTTTCCATTCCTAATCGTTGTAATAAGGCTTGCTTACCTTTTACTGCTACTATAATGGGGCAGTATATCTTTATGAGCATCTGAATAAAACGCTGATTCAAGCTGTTATCTATGATTTTTAGCGGTTTAGGCGATTTGTCTTTTTCTAGAAGAAAGTTCCTCAGCTGCATAATACTGGTCATACATTTAGTAAGTTTTTTAAACTGAAATTATACAGTAACTTTTTTATATGATCGCGACCACCAAACCGAGTCCTTAACTCTCTTTTCTTAGCTTGCAGTCAATACCTTTTGAAGACGTATTCTCTATTGCATTCGGCACCACTTCTTTCAGCAGTGTCTTCTTAAGTAGGAGAATTTTGTGCTGGTTGTATATTTTTAGATTCAGCAGATTACAAACAAGTTTCCTGGAGGCTCCTTGAAGTCAAAAGATTTCTATTGAACAAAGACAGTTGATTTCTGGAACTTGCTGTAACTACATTATTTTATTAAAGGCTTAGAAGATTTGCTTTTCTTCTGTTCTTTCTTTCTTAAGCATCATCTAGTAAGCAATAAATCTCATTTCCCACATGTATGCTGCCAGAAAGCCATCTTTTTGGCATACCGTTCATATAATTCTTCCTCTTTTTCTAGTTCCTGCTAACCTACAGTTCCTCAGAAGGTTCTATATCTTGAATTTTTCCTTCATATTTTGAACAGCTATTTTTCATTTTGTTTATTACTTCCTTTAAGCTGTGAGGGCCGCTTTTTTCGGTAACTAACATTTTTTTTGCCTCGTGTAAGTTTATTAATAATCCGTGGTGGAAGGTAGTAATGATTGTTTTCGGGATTCACAAAATTCTTTTAGTCCTGAATTTATTCATTTAGCTAAATACCAATAAAATTAGGTTTAGTAATCTGCCGCATTCCTTTGTTAAGATGTTACTTTATTGTTTTTTTGCTGCATGCTCTACTGCAACGTTCAAAGTATTAGTTTCATTATTTTTATTTGAAGAGGGAATCTATAAGGAGTAATAACAATTATATAGTAAATTGTTAAGCAGAATAGCAGCAGTTTTAGAAGAAGTTCCATTAGTTAACTGTTAGGGTCGGAAAGCAGTGCGTTTATTCGTAAGGTGTCTCTTCGGGAGCAACATTCCACGACTCACTTGATGTTCTAATAAACCTTCTTTCTTGCAGACAGCTTTCTTTTTAAGTTTAACATCTACGCACTGATTAGCATGACCCGCATTGTATTGCCGAGGACTATGGAGGTTAAGTCAACCCGCTCCAGTTATATATATCTTTGCAAAAATTAGAGGAGCCTTGCGCAGTGGTGATTAGCCAACTGATTTTTGGAAGCATTTTCATCGTTCCCGTGCACTTAATTTCTACCTTTCTCTGCACTCTGCAGTGAAAAGGGTTCCCGGAGTCAAAAAGCAAGAAGAAAAAAATTAACCGTGTGCGGAGTTGCGTTTTTCTCGATGAAATTTCCGTATTGAGTCTTACAGTGGCTTTTGGCGTATTTTTTGTTGTGGTTTCGTAGTTTGAAACGATTCAAAATTATGCCTTATACGGTACCGTTACAGATTTTTGGCGTAGTCTGTTTTGCCCTCATTTTGATCCGTGGCGTCATTCGGTCCACAGTGCCTATAAAGCTGAAGTGATCTGCTGTAACTTCACTGTTGATAAAGTGGATGACTTGTTGTCGTTTTCGTTTGTCCTCTGTGAGCAGATCAAATTTTACTGCGTTGGTAGTTGGATTTTCCTCTAATACGTTGTACGACATTTCACCACTTCGGTTTACAAAAGTTGTAGTTTTCAAGGGTTCAACTGCAAGTTTCCCATGAAAATAAACGTATTTTTAATGAATGTGGCTTTATTAAACAAAGTCGAGCTACTTTGCTTATAAAAGAAATTTAGAAATGTATTCTATCAACTATGTAATCTGAAATAAAACCTCAAATTAGCCATTAACCAAACATTTGTGATGCTGTTCACGACAACAATTTCGTGGTTATTGGTTTACCAGAAACCGTAGGTCTCTGTGGACATACGGTCGAGGTGAATTTGGTTACAACTTGTATTTTCAGAGAGATGCCTTATATTTTTGATCTTGGTGCAGTGAAATAATTCGTTGTTGGTAGAGCAGTAATGGCCGTCCCCCAGGCAGTTCGGGCACCCAGAGCAATTTCTGCAGCTCGTCTTCCTCCTATAATACTAACTGCAATTTTCGCGTACTTAGACTTGAAAGACATTGCCTCTTGTATGCGTGTGTGCAGACATTGGTGGACAGTTCTTGAGTATGAAGTAGGCATTTTCTCTTAAAGCAGCTATTTGTTTTTCGGTAGTACTTTCTGCTCAGTCTTTTTTGCATATTTCGTTTCTAGGATAGTTATGTGTGGAAAGCTTTAGCACGCCGTTTGGTACCAAATGAGGCATTTCGGGAAACCTCGTTGCTTTCTCAGACCCCTACTTTTAAACAGAAATTACGAGCATTTACATTCGCTTGGAATCCGTTGGATTCGTCTAGGTTTTACCACCGTTCTTTCCGCTTTTGATTTTTTATTTGGAAAGCTTCTATTACATCATAGTGTCTGCTTGAGAAGATCAAGACTTTCACTTGAAAGTATGAAATTTTACCAAATTCAGAAACAATTACTTGCAAACAAACGGCTTCACAGTTCACAGAAATCCAGTAGCTCAAAGCACTGATGGGATCAGAGGTAATAATTTTGCGTAAGTTATTTAATCTTAACCGTCGGATATTTTGTATTCGTTGATATACAGATCCAAAACTAAAACTTCCTGAAAACAGCAATTATTTCAGGTAAAAAAGGCGTCAACAGTGGCATGCACGCTTGGGAGTTCGTCTGGGAAGGTCCTCTAGGAACTGTTGCGTGCATTGGCGTTGCTACCAAGTGCGTTTTAAAGCCGAACTTTTGTGCTGCTTTTCAATGCTTCCTTTGGTTGCTGATCATGAATGTTGTAGTTCAGTTGGATTAAGCCTAGTCGGTCTTACGCTGAACTGATTTAGTCATTTATAGGTATGCAGCATTACACTGCGAGGGATATATACCGTTGCTGGGTAGCGATGATCAGAGTTGGGGTTGGAATTTGGTGGATAATGTCCTCTTTCATAACAATGAACAAATCAGCACTTATCCGCATGTCAATAATCCTCCAAAATACCAGGTTTAGTTTGAGTGAAGTCCTGAAGATTTTTTAATATAAAACGCTTTCTTTTGTCCCAGACTTTATATTGTTGCAGTTCTTGGTGATCTTGATTTCTGTAGGTTGGAGAAAGAATTCGTATGGTGTTAGACTGCGACCAACATATACTTTATTTTGAGAAAGGTTCAGAATTCTTAGGCAATGCTTTTTACCACTTACCGCCAGTTAAACTTTTTCCTGCAATATGCGGGGTGTATGGAAATACGGAAGTTACAATGGTCTACGTCGGTCCGCCATTGTTAGGTTGACACTAGGGTAAGTTATTATAATTTTTTTTGGAGGTGTCTGTTACGGAAGACTGTAGAGGAAGTATTGATTGGTACTTCACATTGTATAGCTGACGTCCCTTTTTTATCGTGATGCATTGCAGAGACAATAACTTAATTATCTGTTTCACCAATGATCGACTTCCGTAAATATTCCGTCATTCTGATCTCTGTGGAAGTTTGTGGGACAGGAGTTTATTGCTTCAAGGTTACTGCTTATTTCTTGCAGTGGCTATTAAAGTTTGGTTTGGATTTGGTTTTTCAGCTTCTAGAAAGCAGTGTTTTTAAAAGGTTTTGAACACCGTTTGCCAATTCATTTTCTACAGTTGAGCAGAATCGCAGTTTAAGGTCCGTACCGTAAGGTGTATTCACTGGATTATTGCAATAATAACATTTTAAATCAACCGTGTTTGAGGTTCTGTTTGGAATAATTTTGTTGAATTGCAAGAGCACTTCTCTACTACTTCTATAATCATAATCTGCCATAACTTTTCTGTTTAACTGCTACGAATGAAACACTCAAACGTTGTTAACAGAATCCTGTAGGAGCCACCGAAAGTTTTAGAAAGACACCAGTTTATAGCCAATAAATTCTTAGTGGAATCCTCCACGCAAAATCATCGATTTTTCACATAAAAACCGCAACCCTTAAAAAGTCACCAAGGTAAGACTACCCCTAAGAGACCTTACAAGCAGAATTTTAAAGTGCTTCGGCCAAGCTGCGAATCGAACGGTCTTGTCTGCTGCTTATGAAAACAGACTTCCGAGAGTCCACTACTCACAAGAGAACTGGACTCAGAAAGCCCGCCCTTAAAGTTCTTTAACAACTCCAGTTTGGGAGACAAGAGACCTGATATGTCAAGCGGACCGAGCGGCCGCGACGGAATATTGTGGTGCACACTTTATTAATTGTGTTGACTCCCGCTTGATTTATGTATACAACGGTAAGCGTCGGTCATCAACAATAACGATCTGGAGTAATTCAAATGAGCATCAAGCAATAGCACGAAAGCGAAGACCCAGGGTTGTTCAAGTTTTGCAGTGGCAAATTCGCGTATTATCTCGCAAACCGAGCGCAAATAAAATCAGTGTCAGACTAAGCACAAAAGCAAATGAGCCATGAAAGTTTTCCAGACCAGTTGTCGATTAGGAATGCTCACACGTATGCAAGTCCTCCTAACGGATTAGCAAAATTCCGCTGCATTTAAAATTGCAAATTTGAGTAACCCCCCGGCTTCCGTCTGAACAAGTAGTGCTCGAAAAAAAAATTCAAATACGTGCAAACACATCTTCACAGTTTCGCCCGTGCTCCCTTAGACAACTAGTAAAGTAACATCTATGAGAGGATTCACAAGATAAGAGAAATTTACAATTGCTAGATCCCTTCGACATTTCTGCCATAAGATAAAATACATAAGATAGGGACAGAAGGCATATCAAAGATCACGTTAATCTGGTCCTTCCTAAGCATGGACTGCTTGAAGTTGAAGTTGAGAGGCTCTTAATGGAGCCGCACAACTAGCAAAACACTGTTTACGTTTAAAGCCATGCCTATTGTGGAGCAGAATCAAAAACAATACGATACTTGAGGAAATGATTCAGTAGTTTAGAAAATAAAGCGTAATTTGAAGGAGAGTAATTTAGTTCACAAGTGAAACTCGTAAGCAACTCATTTTTGAGCTTTTTTTCATAGAAAGTTTCCCTTGAACTGCTAGAGAAAAAATTTGACGATGTCAACAAGGAAAAAGAACAAAACAACGCATAAAATAAATCCAAGTAGAATAAAAAAAGGAATAATTATCGGATTATCCTTGTCAACTGGACGACTTTTCTTTGTACAACGTCTAATTTTGATGAGCACCATCGAACATAAACGTCGAACTTTCCCTTACTTTTTATAAGAGACAAAAATTCGGGCAGGTTACCGTCACAATTGAAATAAAATGTTCGTGCAGTTAACAAACTGAAAATACTCAAAATTACTTTTAAATGAAATGTCATATTATCAGAAATTGCGCCTACAACGCAATAAATTACTCATTCAACAGAATATGAGACAGTGGACTCAGATTGGTTCTCTCAGACAGCATACCCATGTCTTAGTAATTTGAAAAAAAAACCTATCAAACTCGTGATAATCCTCAATAACAGAAGAAAAAACGTGAAATAAAGATTTACCAAATACCGTCCGGAGCCAATGCGTAGTCTAAGAAGTCATGAAGTGCCTCAAATTCAGTATGGTTTGCGTTGATATACTCTGGGGCCAAAATGACATCGAATCTAAAAAAACATCTTGAAGAGAAAAAAGTGGTGACTACAATGCTCTGTTAGCTTATATGTACTTGTAAGACCGGAATGAGATATTCAAGACACTGGCCAATTCTCGTCTGTTTCCACTAATTCGATAAAAGATGAATCATAAAAGAATAAATTCTAAAAACCACTCTGGGAAAATCAGAAGACAAGTAGCCGTGTCTCAAAAGCACACTAGTTATGCTGTTAATTATCCGAAAGTGAAAGCAACGGTAAACTGAAAATTATAAATATAATCACATCTCGACTCAAAACCTTCAGTTTAACCAACTGAGTCCCACAAATTCTTCCCCCACTTGTTTTTGCCTTCTCGACAGTTTACAGCTTATCGTTGCCTATAGAACATTATCAAAAAACTAAGAGACAATTATAGACGTTATTGAAAAACTAAACACTAAGCAGAATTTTCCTGCAATCTGCTAATCACTAAAAATTATTGCTTTGTTGCACCGAGGCGGCAAGTTGTTCGAGGCGACCATAAGGTTAAAATTTTCCTACATCTTTTTTTTAAAAAAAATTAGAAAATGAAACCGTTAGAACTGTATAACTCAGCGAAGAGAAACGAAGCTTTATTTCTGCAGTTAAGTTCACATCAACAACATTTCCTCCTCAGTGCAGTATTGAACGTCAAAAAAACCCGAGCGGTACAAGTTCTTACGAATGAATTTATCCTTCGGAAGCCTGCGGCAGAAAACAGCCCGAAAATACCATGGGATCCACCATATCGCATGTTAAAACGTGAAGTACAAAGAAAATCCGTTTCTCTTTGTTAGAAACTGTAATCTACCGTACAAAAAAAATTTTTAAGGCCGTTGTGCAGCTCCTCATTTTTACCACCTCTCATGTCTCTTGCAACTGCTGCCTGTACAACTACTGTCTTGTTACATCTCAGGCCTCCTTACATCGCAAATAATACCGAGCCTTGCTCTCAGCCTGTCAAAACAACTTAGAAGGCTGCTTAGCCTTAAATACTACCACTCATCAAGCTCCTTTTGTTCAATTCGTGAAGTAATTTATCGCGCCAAATGGGGAAGGCTGATAACCCCCCATCTTATAAAAGAGTTACATGAATGAGCACGTTCAACCAACTAAAAAACCATCCAGTCTTTTTATCCTGCAAATTTCCAACTCCAGTAATGCATTGGGCAACTAAATTACTTATTTTACCATTGGAGCAAACTAATGTAACTGCTAGATTCCGTAAATCAGGATTTTAATATTTAATGAAATTGGAAGAATCATCACCAAAACCTGACCTACAGCGCAGAAGCCCATCGATGACTCACACTTTAAAAGTGATTAGTTATCTCCAAGCGAGATGAACAGCATCGATCAAATGACTTAAAAACTTTTCCAGTTCCAAATTTAACATACGTACCAGTTTTGTACTTCGAAAAACAATGAACGAAGGGCCAGTAATGCACTCAAAGCTAATTGAAAAAACTTATACTTTCCATGCCTTCATCATACCTAAACTTGGTTTCTCAAGTGCCCCTATCCCAAAAGTTGGAGTTCTAAATTTGCAGGAGGAAAGTTGACGTAAATGGTAATTAATACAATTTCTCATCTTGATTAATGAAAGAAAAAAAAATAAAAAGAACTGTTAGCTTCTTTACTAGGCTTTTTGGAACGTCATATCGTTTCAAAACGGAAAAGCAGTTGATGTCCATAGTAATATCTAAAAAAAGATTGCAACCTCTTGAGACAGGGCTTTTCACGCAACCAAAAACGCTTTAAAAAGATGAAAGTTCCCCTGCACCATAACAAAACCACTCTTATAGTTTTACAAAAAATCTTTCAAATCAGAAAACCCCTCTATCCTGCAAAAACTACTTCAAAAGTAGTTCCAAAAATTTCTTGCGAAAAGCGACTCTTTAGTAATTCATGCTTATGGAACTTCCAACTTTTCAAAGTATTCAAACAGAAGCTGGCTTGGTATAGTCCAATGACCGATTTAACAGTAAGTTTTTGACGAAAATTTAAAGTGGGAAAATCCTTTCAACTGGTCCAATGAAAAAAATTTTTTCTGTAATTG